ATTAGTTGTGCCTAAAATCGCTTTGCGTCAATATGTATGCGAAAATTACCAAAAAAAAAAAACAACCATTCGACGAACAAATTAACACTCCATCGATGCTCAGATAATCTGAATAGTGGTGTAGTGCAATCAGTGGGTTTATTCGACGCCGGCCGATACCGTGCTGTGAAAATTGTTCACGCTCGCACGGTCCACTTAAGGTTGGAATTTCTTAATTTAGAAAAAAATGCTTTTAATTATCGCTCATAGTTTGATTTGGCATTATTGTTACTTAAAGTTGGCGCGTTAATTGTCAGCCACGATGAATGCTTCAAGTGCCACTTCAACTGCCATGGGATCAATGTCTCTACAGATGTGCGATTTAACACACGTTTATTAAAAATTAACCGACTTATTTGTGTACTTAAGGCACATATGGTATGTACCGTTACAATGGAATTTATATTTGCTATTACAAATTGCGAGTGATGTCAAGTGTTTGTTGTGAAATGAAATTATTTTGTGATTGGAACTCAGCGGCTGCAGGTAGTTTACTGGACACCGTAGTAGCATATTTCGTACAAGAAATGGCATCACATATTTAAAACCAACTAAGTTTGTTTCGCAACCCAAGCTAAAAGACGAGTCAATAGAAAAATGTGGGAACATTATTAGATATGTTGGGCATAATAAACTTTAAACTATTTAAAAATAGCCTGTTAGCCTTCAGCCTTAATATGAATCTTATATTCGTTTTGGGGTGATCCAGACTGGCAAAAGAATACTTCTTTGCGCATTTGTGTTTATGGGTTTCGGTTTATTTTTGGAGCACCTAGATTGTTGGACCGACTCGCATCATTTTGAGAAACTCATGTTTTGTGACCTGCACTGATTGTTTGATGATTATAGAGTTCTCAACTACGTTGTCAAATAGCTTTTTTGTGACCTCTACTCGACATGGTTTTTGCAAAAGATTTGGATCTTTTGGTACGAGTCTAGAATTGACACGCTTCATATCCAAAATATTAACCAAAATGTTTGATTCGATCCATCTGATGCCAACACGACGTTTCTCAAGCACCGTTTCTTTAATTTTTCGGTGTTATCGTCATTAACAGAGGTGGATGGACGACTCACATGAGGTAAGTTTTCGACGACTTTACGACCGTCACTGAACACTTTGTGGCACTCAAGCAGTTATGTTCGTGATCAAGTAGACTCCCAAAAAGACTTCTGCAACATTTTCAGCGTTTCCATTGCTGTGATTCCTTTGAATAAACATTTAAGCAAAATCATTGTTAATTTTCATGGTAAAAACGTTTTGCGACGTAAACAAAAAGCTGGCAAACACACACTAATTGACATATGATGTCATATGAACTAAAATAACCATTTTCAATTTCAAATGAATTAGATCATGTTTTCGTAATGCATAAATCTTTATAACATGACCTAATATTTCTAATTGACGCCTTTTTTGATCGTGAAACAAAAATCTTTGCCCTTTATTTATTTCAGTTGTTTGATTCAGTTTATAATTAGGTTTAGACTTTTTAAACATTGTTCGGTGTTCGATTAGCTAAATCACTGCAAAAACTAAGCTAAATTGCTGAACCCAACTGAAAGTCGGCTTTGTTATTGATTTAGAGTTACTAAGTTGCCGACATGATTTCGGTATGTCATTAAACTAACCAGGTAACTAACAAGATTCGGTTAAGCTTCAATAGATAACATACTACATTAGTTTGAGTGAGTAAGTGTCATTTGTGATTTCCAAGAAAAGAATTTGTTAAAATATTTTCACCATAATGGGCTGGTTTTGACATGCACCGCTAAAGAATTTGACATGCATCTCTGGAGAATACGAGTGCATACCCGCTGTAACATGGAATTCTCGTCGAGTTTGCGAACTAAGTAGCTGAGTGAAGGCACGTCTCGCGCACATAAGAGATCACAGCGAGATCACTCAGAAGTACGCGCCGCGTGCGCTGTTGCAGCCATTCAGTTGCAGTGCGATAATTTGACAACTGCAGGTATTGTATGACAACAAAGTTAGTACACGTAGAAGCGACAACTATTGTGCTATGCGGTGACGATGTGCACGGCAGACGTGACATTTTGTGCTTTGACGGCTTGTTGTTGCTGTTAAACAGTTGGATTTGTGACTAATTAAGCAGGAATGTAGAGCAACGATTATGAGCGATGACGTTTGACGGTTGAAATGCTTAATGGTGCATTGTCAGTTTATTGATTTGCTGTCATTCACGCCTACACTTCCACCTATTATGGCACTTTATGTGGTAACACAAGCGTTGCACTATGCGCGTTTATGTGCCTCTATGCTGCAGCAACGTTAAGCGGTTTGGCAGGCTCATTGATGAATTGCAGGTCAACGAATTGTTTTACGTCTGTATGTATTTAAGGTCACGTGACATATTTTGTAATGTGTGGTTCTGCAAAATATGTAAGAATTCTTCACTAATGGTTGGTTAGAGTTGAACTTTGCCGCCATGAATGTTGGTCTTGCTGATGCTTTCGACCACCCAATCACTGAGGTATGTATTAAGCCGAGGCAACATTCGCTAATAAAGCAGTAGATAGACTACTAAAAGTATTAATCAGCATCTAGGTCTGCTGAAAGTGCCACAAAACTGAAACCGATTGCTTTAAAAGAAAACACTAGTCATTTTGGGGTTCCCAATAGCACTGTCTTCTCCTGTATACTATCTGTATTTTGGTGCTCCGAGAACTCTACAAATCTTATGATCTGACGGTGCGAATTCAAGAACTCTTAGCAGTAAAGAAAGAAAACAACATATTTTTAAGGAAACGCACATAATTTTTTAAATATGTACCCATGACTATAGCGACTACTATAAAGGATGTAATGTGTCTTTCCAGAACACTTTCAACACACATATCTTGCAAAGATTTATTGTGTTTCCTCTAATGATCGGAGTGCACGCGACCGCTGTAGAAAGTGGTCAGCTTAAACTAACTCCATTTAGTTAGTGAGCATGATTAAGGAACATACAAAAGCAGTGTACTCGTATATATACATATGTATATGAACCAGTGCTACGTAGATGGTAAATAGATATTGCAAGAAATATATACGCCTAGCAACGGCTTAGCAGACAGCCCGACAGACGCATGGACAGTTGGACATGGGTGTACAATATTTTGTGTAAGCATTTTTTGTGCGGCAAGATAAACATCGCTGCTAGTGTATGGTGTCCATATTTTTTGTGGCATGCCAAGCGTGAGGTGCCATTTAATTTGTACCAATGCTGATCGCCGTTGCCGCGATCACATATCAGCGCGGCCGATCGTGCCTTCGTGCGTTTGCAGCATTGCCCGATGGATATATCGGCATTTCGATCGATCCACGGATCGATACCCAGTTCGTGACCCATTTTTTTTTATTAATTTTTATTTTTATTTTATGGCGCTGCGCCTTTCGTGTTTTTGTTGTATCCCGTTTAATGTTTTTGTTGGACTTGCAAAATGTTGTACACTTTTCATGTTGTTGTCGTACGCATACACAATTGTTGCAAGTACTTATCGCATAAATTTACTCGATGCTTGATCTTGATCTGTAACTCATTTCCGACATTGCAACACGTGATTGACTACGTTTGTTCGGTTACGAACTCAAAGGAATTAAAGAAAGGTGTGTATGCTTGCAGAAAGGGCGATATGCGCATATCAACAACAATGCATGGCAACTTATCGATTACATATATTCTTATGGCTAAGGAGGGATAGAGATTTGACGTGAGAAAAACTAATTCTTTAATAAAAATTCATTTTAATTATTCAATTATTCACGGCTATGAGACCGATATCCCGATTATAACCTTTATTTTCGATGTCATTTTTGTAGAGTCGGTTAATCTTTTGTTTCAAAATAGTTCAACCATCGTTCTCTTGAGGTCTGTGAATAGATAAAAGTCGGTATACGGTGGATGAGTAATCAATTTTAATCCCATTTTATGCAAATTTAGTATGATTGTGAGCCCGCAAGACACCTACTTTGCACAGAGCTTTCACATACCCAAATCTTCATTAATGATTTGTTCAATTCATTAATTTTTTTTAGGGCTCCAGATATCAGGATAAACTTTGTTTAACGGTCATCGAAAAATCATTTCGCGAATTTTTATATAACCTGATGTTTGTAAGACCCAGAAGGAAACATCGGAGACCTTGTACAGTTTATATAATATTATATATTAAGGATCACCGTGACGAGCAAAGTTGATTTAGCCACGTTCGTGTCTGTCTATATACACGTGAAATATTCCCTCAGATTTTGAGATATCGCTCTGAAATTTTGACATGTTCTTTTCTCCCCAAGAGACTGCTTATTAGGGTTCGGACAATACTCACACTAATTCTTAGTGTCAGCAGTATTCAATGAGATTATTTTTAAAAAAACTGAGCTTTAAAAATAAAGCTATTTCAGAGAGTCGGTCGGTTGTTCTATCTCCAGAATATCGCTTCGATTTCTTTCACATCACTTGCTGGTTACATATCCATATGACAAATTGCAATAGAAGAATGTATGCGAATGCAGCTTCCCACTCGAGCCATAAAACATTGTCTGTTGTCGTGTTAATTTGCTGCATTTTTCAAAAGCACTGCCACCAGGCAATGTGCTCGCCGTTCTTGAGGCGTACATGATACAACTCGGTTGAAACGTAATCGCAGACGCGGCCGGTAGCTGCATAATAACAACTTGTCTGCAGTTGCACGCTTCTACTTCTACTTCTGCATTTTTGTCATTTTTATTTTCGGGTTACAGGATTATTGTTAGATTTTTGTTGCTATTTGCAGATTTTGTGCCTTCTAGGTCCTGTTGTTGTTATTCAAAATAGTGTTTTTTTTGTTATGATCTTTTGTATTTCTTGTTGTATTAACTCGTATGCACACAAGCGTTTCCTACTATGTTTGATAATTTATTTATTTTCAGTATTTTTCCTAAGAGTTTGCCGCTCAGTCACGCTTGACAACACAGTTTGTCAAAAGTAATCGCTCCTGACAGTGAATGCAGTGACGGCAGCACACTTTTGGTGAACTTACCATGTACATGCAACAACCGCCGTCTGGCTAGGATCTGCTCAACATGCGCTTGGCGGTGGGTAAAAAAACAAACATTTGAAATTTCAGCAATTTGTCAGTCACTCAACCAACTATTCAGTTGCCAACAGTGGTTCGCCCGTCTGTTGCTGCAAACTTTTTTCTTGGCAAAAATGTCATTTTGTTATAAAAATTGGCGCATGCGGCGGAGCTTTTTGACATTTTGGGTGGCCTTATATATTTACTTATGTCGCCGATTGCCCGCAGCTGTGTATTGTTATATATAAATGTGTGTAGATAGTGCGAAGGGCGGAGAATATGAACAGCAAGATAACCTGATATGCGGCTGCAAGTTGTTCGGAAATTGTAACAAACTGCCACAAATGACAGGTGCAAATCGCTTGTCACAGTTAAAAAATTGGAGCTTGTCATAAATGCTATATTTCTGAAGCGAAATCTATTCAAAACTTCTATCTTTCTTTCAGCTGAAGTGGGGGCTTCAATTTTTTCTTTTGACATCCTAATCAATATCTAGAACCGTTAGGTACGTAGATCAATAACCACAATTTCTGTGCATGTTGCGGAAAAGATTCGAGCTCTCCTTAACTTTGAAAATCAGCAAGTCAATCTTTTTCTTGCTAGTATTCATTTTATTTTCTCAATCATTTAGTCCAACTAAGTGAATTAACACTTTAAAGTCAATTATGCAATTATCTGCTCTGTTGAGTGTTTTCTTCACTTAAGGATCCTTATGTCATGCAATCAACATAAAATTTGCGAGTGTCTGTCCAATTGTCGTGGTAATGTGGTGGAAAGAAACGGGTAAATAATCGTCATTCTGCCATTCCGACAACTACATTAAATACATATAAAGTAAGAAGAAGATTTTATTGTGGCATTAAGAGGCACTTGACAACTGGCGTTGAGGTGCAAGCACTAGTTTAACGAAATGATCAAGAAGATTAAAGGAGTAAAAACAGAAATATGCTAATGAAGAAACAAGTTCTAACCAAATTTCAGCCAACATAGCCTTCATAGCATGAGTAAGGAGTTTTTTGTGGCAAATTATTTTGCGTACTTGCATGGAGAACTTGTAAGCATAAGCTGAACCAATGACAGCTTTGGGGTTAGCCACTAAAATATATTTAAAACAAAAAAATTTCAACTTTAACTGCATCGACGTTATATACCCTTTACAGGTGCAGGGTGCAGGTATAGCCTAAATGGGTATAAAAAATATCTTTATCTCGATTTTGATTGATTAGTTTGAATAGCAGCTATATGTTATAGTAATTTGGGACTGAACAATTTTCGGAGATTGTACGTTGGCGATACTTTGGACAAAATTCTATGCCAAATTTCATGACGATACCTTCTCAAATAAAAAAGTTTTCCATATGTCAGGCTTGAGTTTGATCATACGGCAGCTACACATATCTTGTGGGATCTGATATCCGCGGTTCGCATATATACAGACGGACAGACAGTCAAGTTAAATCGACACAATTCGCTTTATAGCAAACTTAATATACCCTGTGCAGGGCCCTCAAAATTTATGCGTATCTCGTTATGCATATTTTCCTTGATTTTTTTCTGCATTTCTACATTTGCAATCGCGTTGAATTTTCTCTCAACGCATGTGTAATTGCAAAATTTATAGACAGTTTGCTGGACCACATTTTTTCTCACTCCAATAAATATCACAATCATCAAATTGTGCTGGCTGACAGCCACAATTAACGGCTCTTTAGAGCAATGTGAACGTTGGATTGCAATTACAAGTCGAATGCTCGATATTCGTTAACACCTTCGGCAAAGTGTCGCATGCATAAAGTCATGAATTTAATTTATAACCGCTATGTTAGCCGGCAAGTAATCATTTGGTTTCGCCCCGCCTTGCCCGTTTTCAGCACTTCGACTACTTTGTGCAACCGCGTAACCAAAATGAGATTTAACAGCACTATAAATCGTAGCCAAATGCAGTGTAACGATCCCGTTGACTCGTCATAAATGCATGGATTTGGTCAGACGCGCCAAAAATATGCGCCACAATGCTAAAATGGATGTAGCAGCTAATAGCGAGCCTATCTGATATCCGATCCACTGCGATCAGCTGTGATCCACGTTTTTCCACTCAATGCGGCATTTTGTGGCAGGCCAAGTGAAGCGTGGAAATGTGAGATTTTTTAGCTCATTACTGCAAATCAATGTCGTGTCCGCTAACGAGCTCTATCTACCACAAATGTGCGTCAAGTGCGATTTAATGCTCAAACATATTCTCGCATAACTTTTTATGTGTGTTCGTTTGGGCATGTATACGGATATAAATGCGTCTCTTGCATAGCACTTAAGGCATTGACAGGTTATGTGGCAACGGTTGTTCTGTCTGATTGCTGAGAATAAGCCAAAAAGCTCGTGTCAAACATGTTTCCCTTCTGTTCTTACTATATGATAGACGATGGTGTTCGCAAGAATGTTGAGATATTTTTATTTTCAACACTATCGCCATCAACATGCAGATGATTGCAGCTTCTTACCATAATACTAGGTATTTGAGACTTTTGCTAACAAATGGCGTTTTTTACACATTATGATCTTGGTTGGTTTTTTGGCTAGATAGGCTTATTGTGTTTCCATATGTGATATTACAGTCTCAGACGGACATATGAGATGGTTGAGGCCCTGCGTAAGTCAAACTTTTGAGATTTGCACATTATCGATGGTTTCTACACCTAAAAGAAATGTATACCGATAATAGCCTTTGGTTTTGCCTTTCAATTTAGCATAAGGTCATGCCGCTGGGTATAGGTTTGACTAGAAGAGTTCTTCCGGGAAGGTAAATTCTTTTTTATGGGTCTAGGGAATTAGTACTAGTGAACTATTGCTTTTTTCATCTGCATTTGTAGCTAAACCACTAATATGAACTTTTTGAAGTAGTAAAATGTCCACACAGGTACCAGGACAGTTTTTTTTTGTTTTAAATGTTGGTACTTTTGCAATAAATCAAAAGATAATCCGTACATTAAATAATTAATTTATTTTATATTAATTGTTTATACAATTTTCAACTTATTGCTAGTTACAACTTTTGCATATTTAATTATTTGTGTTTAATGTGCCTGTTACTGTCGTAATCCAGGTTCTATAACTTGATACCTTGGTGTAAACTCCGGGGTAGCCAGCGCGCGCGCAGCCATAACCAAAAGACACAATACCGTACTGTATGCCTTGGGTTGTCAAAGCGCCTCCAGAATCGCCCTGACAGCTATCCTGTTTTGGAGCAGAGGCACATAACTGTTTCCTCGTAATTTTACTTATTCCTCGGTATGAAGTTGAACATGACCTTTTATTCACTCGAAACACATTGACCCCACGCAAATATTTCGTTGGACGAAACTTACCCTCGGTTACTGTACCCCAACCACTTATTAAATATGAAGTCGGCTCGTTTGTACTCGTCGCCAGTTCGACGGCTTGTACATTTGAATTAAAATTGAATGGTCGTTTTGTACGTAACAAGGCTATATCATTAGCAGAAGTTTTAGGATTGTAACTACCATGAAAGAAGATACGATTGATAATGCGCAACTGGCCGCCGGTTTTGAATTTGTTAGAGCCTACGCGTACCGCATACCTTTTACCACCATTACCATAGACGCAATGAGCGGCGGTCAGTACCCAATATTCGCCGATAACTGAACCACCACAAACGAAAGTGGTTGATTGTATTACAGCCGCCTGCCAGGGTACTTCGCTGATGGAGATCTGGCGGCCACCAACAATTCGATGATTCGTGGGCAATACAATGCTGGGAGTCGAGATAGTATTATTGCTGGGTTGACTGATTAAAGTAGTGTTGGTGAGATCTATAACAGTTACGATAGGCTGGGATGCATCACTTCCCACTTCGATAAATTCCAATTCAGCGTCGTCTTCTTCGCTATCTGCATCCGTTGCGCATCGATTTAAGGCACACCAAGCGAGTAGAACGAGTAGCGTTAACGTCCGTTTCATCTTCGTTTTAAAATAGAACTGCTTGTTAGTTGTCGCAACGGCGTTTTGTTGACCTTAGATGAGTTTGCGATAATAAGTATTTGGTTACACTTCATTAATATTTTAGAGATTTTGTTTTTGTACTTATAGACAAATTCGATTGTGCGCAAGCGCGTGCATATTTTAGCACATCTAAACGAAGAACAAAGAAAGAGTAGAAAGTATTTAATTAGGTTAATGGCCAGTTAATAAGTATACAAGAAATAAATAATAACCAATTCTGAAGCTTTTTGGCAAAAGCAAAAATATATTGAGATATGCGTTTGAAAATGTAATATGATGTTCGATCTATCTTCGTCTTTACCACAAGGAAAATATATACATGAGGTAGCGATAATTTTTAGAAAAGATGAGATATGGAGAAAGAAGTGGAGTTTACTGAGAAAAGCGTCAAGGCCGCGCTTAGATATTGAAACTAATCGATTTAGTTCACTTAAGTATTAACCAAAAGTGACCTAGATATTGCAGAAATATTTTTTTTTAATCTCGGACCCGTCGCTAGAACGTAATATCTAAGCAAATGGTACGCATTTATTTGCGTATTTATTTGCGCTATCTCAGAACATAGGAATCTTGAGCTAGGGTGTTCGATGGTTTTCTCTTTCATCGATAACCTTTTTATCGACAATTTTAATTAATTGCTTTTTTTGTAATTCTTCCATAATAACTACGAAACTTGTAAAAACAATATCAATAACAGCAAAATCATTAAAAAAATATATATGAACAATTCTACAATAACATTAAACAAGTCTTTTATTGTAATATTTTTACAGAACAATTAATTAGGAAACGAAATTAAGTGAAATCGCTTGAGGCGAACATGCCACTGGTTCGAATGGAAAGCTCCAGCTGCGCTCCGTTGGGACTACAGACACCAAGCAGCAACATGGAAGCGATGTTGAAAAGCAAAAAAAAAAAACGTGTGTCCTGCTGTGCTTACAGTGAACGTAAAGAACAACGATTGGAGTCGCACTTGTGCTAGCTGTAAAAGTCAGACAGCAATCGAAAACAGGCGAACGACATCAGCATTCAACAGCAGCAGTGGCAGTTGGTCGAATGAGCTTGTAATTAAGTTCGGTTTCCAGTTGGCGATTCTACTTGTAATACATGCCAATATAAAAACAAAAAACAAAAAAACAAAAAAAAATATGTTGTAGCCTAAGCCCAGAAAAACCCGCCCAAAACAGCCAGGGAAATGGCATTGCAGTTAGAAGAGGAATAAGCATTTCATTTGCTTGTCGACAGCGTACACAGTAGCCCAAGTTTGCTGCAAACATGCCAGTCACAGTTGCAACAACAGTTCTATTAGTTTGTCCCCGCCTATTGATAAACGCGCAGAATGCTGTTTGAATTAGCTGCTTGCCAGCCGCCGCACGTTTCACGATTGTAGATCACAGGAAACATGTTAATCCATCTGAGTGCCCTCGATGGCGAATGCACGGTAAGCTAGGAATGTGCCTGTGACTTGACAGTTCATGACACCGTCCGTGCAAGGCAACATGACATTTGACAGTCGAAATGTCCGCTGGCCGTTGGCCGATCAGTGTTTCAGGACGAGGGCGCAGCGTCGACAAGTCTGGGATTTCAATTGGCAATTAGAAATTGGCATCAGGTAACTAACTACTTTTACGCTACCACATATTAATGTGTATTTGTGCGATTAGTTGCACTTCTTTATAAAGCGGACATACATAGTGCTTCTGGCATTTACATGTTGCCACCGTTCGTTTCAGGCGCGATATTAGTGCTGATGTGACACAGCGAGCGGCAGAGTGGCAGTTGCAACATGCACTTTACATGCATTGCGCGAATTGACAAGATGGCAAGATACGCGAGACGCGATACGCATCAGCTGATGAGGCAATGGGAGCTGTTACAACCCGAGCGCCACAAATGTCAAATGCCAGGTGATGACAGAGCCGATTCGGAAGATAACATAGAAGCACAGCGATGCGCACTTGTGTAGTTGAGATTTAAATGCGATAAACTGTGATCGGATGTGTAAGAATATTTGAGATGCACATGTGAGCGGAAATAGATATACGTATACTTGTATATGCAAAAATGATGTCTTTATTAAATGTTTGCTTATATTTTGAGAAATACAAAATTCTTTTTTTAATTGATAGTAATTATTTCGATTTATAGAAAGCGCTGATGAATACTTTCAAGTATTGGAAAAATTTAAAATATTATTGCTCTTTTATCAAGGTTATCTCAACTTGGTATACATTACCGCAAACTCGCATTCCGAAACTATTAGCAATAAAGGCTTTCAATTCAGTTGTTGTACGTTTTGCTAAGCTCTATTGCAAAAATTCGATTAGTTGGATCACTGATATATCACTAGATATATTAAGTAGTTCAGTAATGTTTTGTTGAATGACATAAAATATTTCTTCGTAACTCCCTCAATTTTCCCTTAGCAATACCTGTTTTCTTCAGTAGCCATTCCGCCTTTAGCCATTGCTGTGGGTTTGATCCCTTTTTGCTATGCCTCGAACTGCTTATTATTCTACTAAGAACCTTTTTATACTCTCGCAACTTGTTGCTACAGAGTAAAATAGTTTTGTTCACCTAACGGTTTTTTGTATCACCTAAAGCTAATCGAGTTGTGCACGACGGAAATTTGGTTCTAAATGTTGGGGACTTTATCCGTAGTATATCCCATTTTATTCTATATTTTTTTCATAAATTTTTAGATATATTAATATTTAGCTGCATTCCCAACCAATTCTACGACCATTGCTGCTATTCATAATATATATATATAGGTATATTGCCACCAGATGGTACTTTTAACTCCATTATGGGGTTATAAACAGTTAGAAGGCCGAAAAAAGCAAATTTTGCAGAAGTTTTTTTGAGAAAACTTTTAAATCTATTGATCCAAAAATTTATATTTAACTTTTAACTATATTCTAAAACTTAGTACTAGTAAATATATATTTTTGGAAAAGAGCTACAGCTGATCTCCGGGAGCTCCTCTTAAAAAAGACGTTTGACGGTGACCACTATATCTCTAAACTGGATCATCTGAAATTAAAGAACCAAACAGATTTCCTTAAAATAATGTTAAATCTAGTAATTAATCGACGGAATAAGCAAAATAAATTTTTTTGACAAAACGGCGGTTTCTTCAAAAAAAAATTGATTTTTCACCGAAATTTCGGCCTTAAATTGTTTATAAAAACAAAAACATTTATCGGAGAAAAAAATCTTCAATTAATTACTCAAAAATATATATAAAAAGCTGTGTTAAAATTTGAAACTAATCGGTTTAGCCGTTTTCGAGTGATGTTGGTCACTGACTTTGAAAACACCATTCTGAGAAAAATGCGTTTAAAGTTTGGCCGCTCCGGCTTTGTACTTCCAAGCACTCTGAAACGCCTTTTCAAATTTGCGTGTAACTTCGAAAATATTCACTGGAACGATATGAATGTCTTAAATATATGTACATTAGAAAAAGAAAAATATAAAAAAATCGATTTTTTGAAAACTCTAACTGTATGTAACTCCTTATAGTATACATTATCTAACTCAGAGACAATTGCTCTAATTTTCCATTGCTCATAGTGAGGTTGACAACCCCTAAGTGATATATCCTTCATCCATTTCACTTGGACGATTATCAGAACACTTTAACGTGCCTGCTATAAAGCTTGTTAACCATAAATAGGCACAGACATGAAGCAGAAAATGCATGTACGACCACCACAGATTACTTTGCGCCATTTCAAGTCGGATACAAATCAAATTCTATGAGTCTCGTTATGGTCGTAAATTCATGAAAAAAAGAAGAATTTAATATGAAGTGCGCGGAATTTACCACCATAAAGATTACTATGTAACACGGAAAGCCTGTAATTATTGCTGAAAAATAATTTCAGCAGCGGTAGCCTCGTTGGAGTTTGTAAGGCGCATCGCTGCGACTGCAATGGATATCGGACCGGTAATGGCGACTGGCCGCCAGATGCTGCGGTAATGATATGCGTATAGGTTGTTGTTGTTTCAAAAATGTTGATTTGTTTCTGCTCGCATACGCTGCAGTAATTCTAGACATTACATGCTGCGACACACGCGCTGCCGCAACGGCAAGCAGAACACATTCCGGACGCCTGCAGATTTCATAACAAGTTTCGTTACAGGCGTTCGGTTGAAAGCTTTAGGTAATAACGTACAAGTATATGTGCGTACATATGTGTACATGATTATGTGTACACGGTCATATTTTAATCTGTAGAACAAGCGAAAATGTTGTTGCTTATGAAGAGATATTTTTTCGCAGATTCTTATCGTAATAAGATGCACATCAGCACCAGCGGCAGCTAAAATAGTTAAGCCTCTGCTATATCGGTAGTTGCGTAGTTGCAGCTACGTATCTATCGCGTTGTTGCATGCATGCCCGCTTGTTGCAACATATGCTGCATGACACTTACTTGCGTGTAAGTTGCAAGTTGCTGCAACAATCGTCGATCGGCCATTAGTTGCTGCCCAATGGGATTTGACGGCTGACCGCCGGTTAGTTAGTAAAATAATGGGCGCTCTGATGTGGCGACATGGCTTCGGTCGCTTCAGTTTTCGTAACAACTCATTGCTGACATCACTGGTTTAACACATTATTAACAAGGTACTCGTAACTTGACAATCTTTTGGGAATTCGACTGCATTGCCAGTTGTGTTCTGATATTTTAGCTTGACGTTTTATGAGTGTTGACCTTAAAATTAATGACGTTGCCCATCAAAGTCGTTGCCCGTTGTCGTGTTGAGTCATAATTATTAAAAAAAAAAAACAAATATTGGGTGAGTTTGTGGTCAAACAACTAAGGAATTCATTACATTAAATGCAACCGAAAACGGTTTCTCCGAATTACATTTTCGAACAATGTGGGGAGATAATCTGTTAATACACAGTCAGTTTGATAAATTAGTAAGTTTGAATTTACATTCAGCACCAGCAATAATAAATATCGGAATTGCCAAACAATTATTAGTCGCAATGTGATTGTGCACCACTTTAAGTAGAGAAATACTTGATATTATTTATGAATTTCAATGGTTAAAATTTGCTTTACGGAATTCCATTGAGGCGATTTTTTTGTACGCTTAATGTATTTAAAATTAAAAACCTATAAAGGGTACGCTTAATGAGTCCAAACCGACAATATTCTTTTTTGTTTTTATTTAATATTTTTTTGGTTTTTTGTAATATTTAATAATACTCAAGCAACTTTGATTTTTAAAACACACCGATCTCAGCTCAAAATATTTAATTTTTCACTTCGAGTATGGCTCGTAACCTCTACCTTTCGAATTCGAAGTTATAGCCTTACAATCATACCGCAATGATTAGGCGAAACACGAATGATTTTACGTAAGCTCTTTCTTCTTGTAAGCGAGTAGAGAATATTCTGTTCACACAAAATCGAAGTTTTGCTCCACTGTGAATAGCCCCTTAAAAAATAATAGAGATATTTCTTGAATACAAAAACCAATTATGCATATAAGAGTTCGTACCCTGATCTGGTTTGGTATTCGACGAAATTATACAATCTTTGTTCCAAACTGTTGTACGCTTTCTACGACCTCTCACTGCTGAGATGTGATCTTATTTATATATTTCGCCACCATTTAGCGGGCAGCTTGTGAAAGCAGCTGCAAGCGAAAACCAATTAAAATACTGCCTCCTCCAGAGTAATTACTGAAATATCATAAACCCACAAGCACTTTACTGATTTGTAGGCGCTGAAACGCCTGACAGACCTGTGAATGTTGTGTGTATTTTGACCAAATTCTGAATATAACGGTATATTTGTATGTGCATGTGTTGCCGCTTGATGCCCACCTTTAGGCGAAAGGAAAAAATGACAAAATTACTATTGCAACAATTGTTATGGTAAATGCGCCATGGAACATTGGCTGGCGCAGCATGCCACAGCGAGAGGTTTAAATACTGGGTAACTAGTTACATACATACATGCGTACGCATTTCCATAACTGCATAAATACATACATACACAGTACTTACATACGCATGGTTATGCATATTTCAAGCTACTTGTCAAACGATCGATTCTAATTTATGATTTCCTTGGGCGTTAGAAACTGGTCTGCCGCAGCGATTTGTGGCATTGTGACAGCGGACAGTTGAATATGCAACAAAGTTGAAAACCGCGAACAATAAAATCTACAACACGAATGACATGCGAGCAAACCAACAAAGTATCCAAAGTTGTGCTTAGGACAATCGGGCATGGACAGCGATTGCTGGTATACTGGGTTCACTGAAAGCTTGTGGTGCCACATACACAAAATCACAGCTATGCAAATCTACATAATCATATTATAGGTTAGCTTTTCTCTTCCAAAGGAACTCTTGCCTGGGGGATTTGCATACTTTGCCACGCTGCGGGCGTTGTTAATTTAATTCAATTAACAAATAAAAGAAATAAATCAAAGCTAGGTACTGGGCAACAACAACAAATTGTAAATGCATAAAGTAAACTTTTGCGACGAACCCACAAGATTTGCACGCAACATGACCATTTGCCGCATGGAACGGCGGGGCTTCTGACCTGTTGTTGCGTGTGTACGTTTGCGCTCAACATCTGTCTGGCTGCCGAAAGTGTGCCGCCAGTCAATGCCCTTGTTACCGCACGCACACAGCCACACTGGCAGTCGTGTTTGTGTGTGTACGTGTTGCTTTTCTGTCGTCAGCGTTGCATTTGCATTTCAGTCTGTGGGACCACCCTGCTGCCAACTGATGGCGATTTCCACGAGAACCAGTTCATATTCTATCAGAGATTTGCATTAGCCAGAATGTAGCCGACCAATTAAGCTGACTTTCAAGCTGCTGCTGCAATCGCAACTGTTACTTGCAAATGACCGTCAAATTGAAATGGAAATACTTTACGCATCCGTTTGTCTTTAGCAGCCGCCCATTTTGCGTGCGTTTGAAATTCCGCAGAGCCAAGACAGTGGCAGCTGCTTCTGCCTATGCATCTCTGCTTTCTACCGTATCGCGATCAATTTAATTTACTTGACTGCTACGATTATGGATGCGGCAAAATGCAGCTTGTAGCTTGCGGCGAGCAATTCGATCCTCTGGGG